GAGTACCTGGAGAGAACCCTCACATGCACAGGGAGAACATGCAAACCCCATGCAGAAAGACCCTGGGCCGGGAATCGAACCCAGAACCTTCTTGCTGCAAGGCACGTCCCATTAAATGGGACAAAATAAATCAATTGAGCAATTTATCTCAAATCAGTCTAATTAATCTTTAGATGAATTACCTGTTATAGAAAAATAAGGAAAAGTCATAATGTCCAGTTTTTAGGTGGTGTATAAATACCAGCTACAAAACCAACGGATTTAATAACAATTCAGCTCTATGGGCTACATTTTTTTTTTATTTTTGGAAAGATTTCTCTGAATGCTGAGCGTTAATTTTAATGCTTTACGGCCCCCAGCAGCGGCTTACTTACTTTCGGATGCTTTGGGATAAAGACGTTTGTCTTCCAAACTTCGGCCTTCTCTCTCTGGCTGAAAAGTTTCCGTCTTCGCCTCCAGCCATGCTGTCGGATGTTGAACCAGGACCCCGGGCGCTCGCGCTCTTCTTCAGCGACGGCCGAAGAGGCTGACAGACAGAAAGGATGCAATAAGGGGTCAACACAGGTTGGAGGTTTCTGAAGGAAAATATCTAACCATGTCACAATTATAAACATAACGATAAAATAAAAATCTTAACATTTACTAAATCAAATCAGAGATTTCACCACATAATTAGAAAACTAAAATCTGCGCAATAAAAAAATCTAAGGGATAAAAAATGGTTTGATTCTTCATGAACTGGCATTTTCAATCAACCTATGATTGGTAATCATGAGTACGGAGTGTTTCAAGGTCATGAAAATAAACCCTATGCTGTGACGAGCAATGCAGCAAATCAACAATACGAGTTTAAAGCACATGCATGACTTCACATTACATTTGCGTTTTAACTGCACTACTTTAGGAAGTCGTTCAAGTACAGCTTGCTCGATTGAACCCTGATCCACCCACTGCTTTGTGTAGCTGAAAGCTGTTGCTTGTGTTCTGTTCGTGGCGCCCAGAGGGATAAAATTAGCCCTCCTCTGCTCATTAACTGCCAGAGAGCTTTAAAATGTGCCGTTCTGAACGAGCACAACACAAGTTAAGGTTAAAGAAGCATAAAATGTGGAGTTTTAAACAGCCCATAGTTGGTGTCGTTTCTGGTCTGCTGACCCTGCATATTGAGAAGCAGCATCAAAGCTCATGGAGGGAAGTAATGTTTAAAAAGAAGCAGTTATTTGGGAAGACAAATGTCACCTACAGAGAAACGGGTTTGTTTCTGCCTTCATTCTGAAATGTTTTCCTTTGTTTAGCTGCTGTGTGTGTGTTTGTGCATGTGTGCTTGTTCTTGCTGGACAGTGAGGATGTTTTTACCACATTTTACTAATAAAGTGAGGACCTTTTACTTTGTGGATTGTCTTGAAGTTTTTGTAAAGTTTGGTGTCCTCCACCTGGAGCCACATACAGATAAATCCAGCAGCATCCTCCTATTTATATGAACTTAGTTAATGAATAAAGGATTTTTTTTCATCTTTTTTTTGTTTGCATTTCCACCACAATGATTTTAAGTTGGACGGATATTTCACCACTTTGCCATTTCTCAACATTAGCAGTTTTGGTCTCTTGCAGTTTCCATCTTAGTCAAGCTCCTGTCACACCTTAACTATTTCGACCAGCGTGTGCCTGATGTACGAAAAATCTGGCAAAAACACTGGAATAGGTTGGATAAGTTATGGACACGTTTAGTGTAAGTTATGAGCACGCAGAAAAACGCTGGCACACGTTGACATACGGCAAGTAGGTTGAGAAACTTTGAACATGCTAAAAATTTCCCGAAGTGTGCCATCGTATGCCATACATGGGCCATAAGTAACAGGTCAGTTATCCGATCGATGACACAGTGTCAGTTCCTCATAAGTTGTGGCGTCTAGCTTATCCAAAACCTCTGAGTAACTTGTTCATAACCAGGGCTCGATGTTAACCATCGCCCGGGGCAAGTAGTTTTTATTGTTGGGAGGGTACAAATTTCACTGCATTTGCCCGCCGGGCAAGTGCAATGATCACAAAAAAAAAATTATCACCCAAAATTACTAAAAATCACAGACATTCAATGAAAACGACCCAGAAGCGTTGCTGGCTCCATTTTTGTTGTTTTGTACACATTCTCGCGTGATTTGGAAAAGCCTATATTAGGAACTATATTTATCAAACATTATACTGGGCAAGTAAAAATTGTTTCTGGGCAAATTAAATGTGAAAGTCACTGGCCCTTTTTGCAAGTGGTAAAAATCCTTGACGTCAATCCCTGATAACTGATGCCTAACTTATCCAGAACTTTTCTCCAACGCTTATCAACGTATCTGACGTGTTCCAGACGAGCGCTGAACGTGTTTCTAGGTTCCAGCTACTGTATAATGGCGTATTGGCAGCGTTTTGGTATAAAGGGGGTTCACAGGAGGAAACCGTCAGTTCTCCTCCAGACTTCATCCCCATCATAGGGTCAGCCAGAAGGTGA